TGGCTAGGCTCAATTGCTTCTGGTACACTGCGCACCCTTAAATTTGTGTCTTCTTCCCCTATTATCCAAATCTTTGATGTGACGATCGAGTTCTCTTAGGTGCATGGTGTGCGTGTCAACCTGCTTGCGCATATCATGGATAGCAAGACCTTGCATATTAACTTTATCTTCTACCATGTCCAGCCTATAGGCTACTGCCTGTAAGTCAATGTGTAGCTCAGCTATTGCCGCGGAAAAGAGACTCTTTGATATCCGATGCAACCGCTTTCAAGTCCCCTATGGTGAGGTGAGCAGGTTCAGAACGACCCGCTGCGGCAGCTGCTGCCAAGCTCAAAGGCTGAGAAGAGAACTCCTTTGCAGGCGAATGCAATGGGGAGGCAAGGGCGGATGAATCTGCGTGATCCGGAGTGTGAGATCGAAATAATTCCGGAATGCTGCGATTAGCCGGACCACCTGTACGGCGAGGGGATCTGGCAGCCTTCTTATCTGCTTTCCCCATGTCGGCGGCGACTCTTGATTCTGATTGCGTAGCCCCACCTACGTGTGTCAAGACTTAAGGAATTATATTACCATTTTCTCTGGGGTCAGACTGTGTCCCCCAAAACTGGAAAGTGAAAATAGGGATAGATAGTGGAAAACAAGCCCTAAGTTGCACTGTACGTCTCCGCGTGCTTGAGATGAAAGGCAAAACAAGGAAGACACTGGTTTTGCTGTGTAAATGCAGTGATTATCGCTGCCTTCCCTGTATATGAATCTGTGGGGGATGTATCAACCGTAGGCCTAATCTCAGCACAGCTTCCTTCTTTATGGGCTGTAGCAAGGTCTCCGCAATAAGCCGGTGTTCCCTGGGTTTGTGTGGGGGATGTCCCGATGGATCCTGGAATGCTGGTAGTTGTCTGAGGGATGAGGTATGCGTGCTTGGCAAGTGATCCTCCTTTAGGTGTGATCGCAGCCAGCCTGTGTAGGGTGGGAAAGGTCCTGGGCCCACTAGGCCGCACTAATCCTCGCCACCCCTCTATCACATATGGGGGGGAGGGAAGGTGATCAGGATGCTCCTCCAGGACGTCCTGACAGGCACGGAGGGATGACAGGCAGCAGACCACAGAACGAGCGGGAGGGGGGGTTATCAGTCCTCCCCCTTCCTGATCCTGCACCCACCGTCACACCACCGCTGACCGGCCCGTCATGCGCCAGAGGGCTCCGCGGCTCCACTCGGTCACAACAGGCCGCACCAGATCGCCACCCCAGAACGGCTCCAAAAGCGCCTCCGGCTGCCCAGCCGCAATGCAGCAGGGACGGGTAAGTAACCCGCTCGTCCCTACCCTCTCATACGACCTGGATGCCAGTGGATGGTATATCGAGCCGCCGGAGCTCCAGGTCATGCGACTTGTCCGGTCGCCATCTTGGACACGCCCCCCATATTTTTTTATAGCTGAAAGTAAGAAATATTGTTTTTCTTTAAAATTTTCGGTCTTTTTTTGTTTATAGCGTAAAAAATAAAAAGCGCACAGGGGATCAAATACTACCAAAAGAAAGTTCTATTTGTGTGAAAAAAAGGACGTAAATTTTGTTTGGGTGCAGCATTGCATGACCCGCGCAATTTTCAGTTGAATTAGTGCAGCGCCAAGTAGCAAAAAGAGGCGTGGCAAGGAAGGGGGGTAAATCCTCAGGAGTGAAAGTGGTTAATAATAATAATAATGTATTTCTTTTTTTAGGGTTAGGGGTTAATTATTTATTTATTTTTTATGATTTATTAATCTTGATTTTTTTTTTTTTAGGGTTAGGGGTTAATTATTTATTTATTTTTTATGATTTATTAATCTTGATTTTTCTATGTATTTATTTAGACATTTATTTATTCATATACTATTACTATTCTTTATGTTACAGCTTTTTCATTTGAGCAGAAAATTGCACAAAATGTGGGCAAAAATGTGCACAAACGCGTTAATCGCACATTTCTGTTCTTTTCTGTGGGAATAAAAACACACAAAAAAAATGCACATCTGCCCAAATTGATCTACAAAAGTAGCTCCAAAAATTTTTTGAGCTTCAGGCGCCTTGGAGTGGAGATGAGAACCATCTCCAAAGATTTTTCCCCCCTCAGCATTTTGGAGTGTTGAGCTTTGCGCTACAAAACGCTCAGGTATGAATGCAGCCTAAGGCCTAAGGATCCATTCACACTTGAGCATTTTGTAGCTCTAAGCTTGAAGCACCAAAAAAAGCTCAAACTTAAAAAATAAATAGTTCTCTATGCTGTCTGTTCAGGTGATCAGGTGTGAACAGGCACCATAGAGAACAATTGTTTTTTTTTAAGTTTGAGGTTTTTTTGGACCTCCCAGCTTCAAGCTACAAAACCCTGAAGTGTGAATGCAGCCTAAGTGTGTCCTGCTTCACAGACACCTGCTGATGGTTTCCTCTTCCTTTTCCGGCCTCTCCTGCACTCTCTCCAAGCCTATGAATTCTTCATCCCATATCAGGGCTTCATCTTGGAAAACTGTCAATCAGTTTTGTCCTTTCTAACTGGAATACGTCACCCTGAATGGGTAAGAACCCCTCAATACTCCAAACTGTACAGAAATATTTTCCCTTAAAAGGGACCACAACCCTTCCAGGAACCATCCCTGACTACCTGTACACCTCCCCCCACCTCAATGCAGAGGTGTCAGAAGCACTGTGGGACACCCATCATCATTGTTGTGTTGTTTTCCAGATCTATGTTTTAATATTTTATATAATAAATATATATATATATATATATATATATATATATATATATATAAATAAATTAAATAATATAATTTGAACTCTTGTAATGCCAAGAACCATCTGGTTAACCTAGCATCCATGTTTGTCCTGTTTCATCCAGGTCAATGAGGCCATGATATGACATTAGACAAAACCTCCTGCCAAGGAGAAAATAGTGTAGGGAATCTAGAGCCAACCCTATAGCCAGGCACTCTCTCTACTAGGACATCATTTCTTCTGGGGGCTGTCACATTCTACTAGGAAAGACTATGGGGTATTCCTTACCAATGACTTCTTGGGGCATAATGATGCCTAAACCTTCACTGGAGCATTCATTTGGACAATAAATTATTTAGAGAAGTCTGGAGCAACCAGCACTGGATACTGGCAAAAAGCTGTTTTAAAGTCTGGGAAAACCCCTTCACCTCTTCAGCCTGGTCATTCTACTTGACCATGACTGACCTCTTATCCTTCATCAAGTCAGTCAGTGGTGCAGCAAAAGTGGTGAAGTTGGGGTACCTTTGTTTTTTTCCAATGATGCCCATACATGCTAGAACCTGTTTTTGTGACAAGGAAGAACCAAACCTGAATAGCCTCTACCTTGTTCATCTAATGTTCACCAAACCCCTACCCACAATGTACCCCAGGTAACTGGTCTCTTCCATTGGACTAGCACACTTTTCTGAATTAATGGTAAGCACCTCCTTCAGTAGAGAGTCCCACACAGTCTGAACTTGGGGAAGATGGGACTCCCAGTCTGTACTGAAGATAACAATGTTCTCCAAATACACTGAGGTGTATTTCCGATGAGGGTGTAGCGTTTTATCCATCACCCTCTGAAAAGTAACTGGAGCAGAATGCAATTACTAAAGCAACCCTTAACCTCCCTAGCGGTCTGATTATGTCCATATTTCTGTGCTCAAAGCGGTACGTTTTTTTGCATGGAAATATGTATTTTTTGTATTGTAGGCTGTAATTTTTAGGAATAACTCACTGAAATCTGTCCGAACAAAAGTCTAGTAAATGTCCCGGGTATGTTAAAATTTGAAACACAAAATCATAAATTATAATTTAATAAATTAGCATAAAAAATAATAATATAATAATAAATGTAATTCAATAATATAATCAAACCAAAAACACAGAAATGTGAAATATAGCGCCAAGGTTCTGATTTACTATCGCTGTTCTCTAGCCGGTCTAAAACCGCGTCTGACCTAAAGGGATGCTTTTTGGACGCCATGGACGTTTCTCAGTTTCCAGGCAGAAAGAACAGGCAGGCAGGGCGCCGGACAAAGCACTCGGGACAAAATGTATGTGAAATGGTTTGATACAGGAATGTTATACTATGTGATTTTACTGTATTTAGTGAATGTCACAATATGTCATTTTCAAATTTCCCGCCAGTTCCCTCCCCCGTACGTCCCAACGCTCGCAGGGGACGAAACCCAGATGACAGATGCCGGCATCGGCCGGAGTACATTATCGGGGACACTGCAGGAGGGTAAGTGAAGAACAGATGCTGGAGCAGCGCCGCAGGGTAAGCCCGAGTGTAGCTCGGGGTTACCGATTTTGGTACTGCAACTTTACCCCTAGCTACACTCGGGAATACCGCCAGGGGGGTTAAGGGGTAGCATAAAATATAAATGCAGTGCTAATAAATAAAGAATGACAAAATCACAACAATAAATAAAGGTAATAAATTATGAATCCAGGTGGTGAATAAAGATCAAGTCCTATAATGATGCTCCCTCCGTTCCAAATGTAAATGGTACAAATTCGCACTAACCAGAGGCGTATATCAAATACGCGGCGTGTAAATGTCATGAAGATCCCCCCTCTCTCTGGTCAGGGTATGGACAGGAGCTGGAGATAATGAAGATAAAAAATCCCTCGTGTGGTAAGGATGGATCCGGCGTGCCAGAGGTCCCTTTAAGGGATTCTTTATTTATTAGCGCTACATTTATATTTTATGATATTTTCACAAGGTTTTTTCCAGTTTCCTTGAATGCCTAGCTGCTTTAATTAAGAGCGCTCACTACATCCCCAGATATTTGTGTTTTGTACGTAACCTTTAAGGGGAAGTGCTACATATTATTTTTACTGCTGTGAGAAAAATCCTCCCTATTCTGTACTTTGCTGTCTGCATCAAATATCACGGATCCAGCCTCACCCTGTGTAGGAGGATGTGACCCTCCCAACTGCATTCTTCCCCGAAGTCAGATACCTTCACTGCCATTTCTCTTTCTGCTGTCAGTGATGGCATCTGCTGATCTGAGTGTTGAGCTGGAATGTTCCATCTGTCTGAACATTTATACAGATCCTGTAAACCTGATATGTGGACACAACTTCTGCCGGGTCTGTATTGATCGTGTGCTGGATACACAGGGGGGGGTCTGGAGAATGCTTCTATCCTGTGTGCAGAAAAAGGTTCAGGAGTCGTCCTGCACTGCAGAGGAATATAACACTGTGTAACATAGTGGAGAATTTCCTGTCTGCTCAGCCAGATCAGGAGGAGTCCGGGGTCTTCTGTACTCACTGTGTGGACTCTCCTGTACCTGCTGTTAGATCCTGTCTGCTCTGTGAGGTTTCTCTGTGTGATAAACACCTGAGAGTCCAAAAAAAGTCCCCAGAACACATCTTATGTGACCCCACCTTGTCCATGGAGAGCAGGAAATGCTCCGTCCATAATGAA